TCTATCTATCTATCTATCTATCTATCTATCTATCTATCTATCTATCTATCTATCTCTCTGTTTTCTATATCTTTTTTCCTCTCTTTTTCTGTCTGTCTCTGTCTCTCTGTCTCTCTGTCTCTCTGTCTCTCTGTCTCTGGCGCTGTCTCTGGCTCTCTCTCTCTCTCTCTCTCTCTCTCTCTTACTCTCACCCGCCCACTCACTCACACTATTTCTTGGTGTGTGCGAATGTGTGCGTATGAGTGCGTCATGTAAGTAAGTGTATATGTGTCACCACAAGTCCCCATCTTTCGTTATTATTGTGAATAATCCGCTTCCTACCTCAATCATCTAAATTTAGCAGATATGGGCGTAAAATGTTTACGATTAAATCATGAATGGACACGTTGACTCCGACCTTCTGAACTTCATCATCAGTTCTGTTGTTCTCTGTCTTCCCCAGGGTGTAAATAGACCCGATGTCAAGGTTTTTCTGAAACCACAGGCAATAAATGAATTATAGTATTATAATGGGTTTTTTTAAATCTATCTCTCTTGGGTCATCGTATATAGTCTTTTCTAAATATATGTTATATCTTTTTAATCTGTTCTAGTCTTCTACTTCTAGTCTTTCTTTTTATCAGTCTTATTTTTCGGTTCTCATGTTTTCTCTTTTTATCTTCTTTCCTTTTCTCTGTTTTTTCCCCTTTTCTATTCCAGAGAGATGTGAAAATTGTTCCAATTAAATCATATCAAAGGAACAAGCTTTAAGACGATACCATTACATCTACATGGCCACAAATTGACGAGCACCTGGTTCCATCTCATTGTGACACATAAGCAATTTAAAAAAAAAATAGCATTAAACGTTATCGTCGAAATGCACTTACCCCTATAGTGGATGCTTTGTAGTAGCTTTTATCAAAGTAGAGGCCCTCCTTCTCCCTGTTTTTGGCCATTTCTCTGGCCATGACGAGGTTAAACTGCTTAAATACGTCCCCTGTCGTGCGGGCTCTGTGGGCAGACACAGTTTGCTACCGTTAGAATTAATGTCACAAATACGCTAGGACATCTGCCATTGTCTCAATTCTCGGTGAGCGAAGAAGTGTAATACGGATCATTTGAAACAGAGCTCGGGCTCCTCTTCAGGAATAAAACCAGAAAGGAAACGGGGGAAAAGGGATGGGAGGTGGAGAAAGAGAAGGGCGGAAGCTAGAAAGACACAGTTAAAGAGTCAGCGGTTGGGAAAGAGTAATCTTAGGATTCTCTACTGGAATTGTCGTAGTCTGCAGCAGAGAGGGCTCGTGGCTGAAACCCTATGTTACGGAGCAGACATCATATGCCTCCAAGAAACCAGACTAGGTGACAGGAACTTCAATGTTGCCGACTTTGCAATGACTCTTTACAACAGGGAAGGGCATGGACAGGTCACCCTGATACGATCAGCAATCAGACATCAGGAATTGGATATGAGCCGATGGGCGTCAGTAAACCTACACCTGCTTGCAGTGGAACTCACTGATCAGCCTGTAAGAAATGTTGTCAACGTCTACGCCTGCAACGGGATAGTCACTGAGGAAGAGTGGGCCAAACTTGGCGAGATGGAGGAAATACTACCTGGAAAAACAATCTTTTGTGGCGACTTCAACGCGCGAGGGAGTGATTGGGGAAACACAGTGGTGATAAACCCCCAAGTTTCGAGACTGGTAAATGCCCTGGACAGATGTGACCTCACCTGCATCAACAATGACAGCATGACCAGACTAGCCACAAGAGATGGGGACTCCGACAGTGCTATAGACCTTGCACACGTCTCGGTAGACCTAACAACAGACTGTACATGGAGAGTATTACACAACTATAGCAGCGATCATATCCCATGCACAGTGTCGGTAAAGCGAGGAAGAAACAGCAACCATCAAAGACAGAAACGAGTCTTCTTCTACCCAGCGGAAGGCAACGACCCCATCAGTGTACTGCGAAAGAGCTCCAGGCCACCCAGAATACAGCATAGAGTAGTGGCACAGCAGCCACCCTGGTGGAATGAAGAGACTGAGGCATTGTGGAAGATCAAACGCTTAGCGCTGAGAAGACACGAGAGGGACAAATCAAACGTGCAGTTGAAAGCTGAGAAAAAGCTAGCAGATCTCAGATTCGATGAGGCAGCAAAAGAAGCCAAGGACCTAGCATATGACAACTTCTGCCGGGGCGTGAACAGTGACAGGGCCCTTTATCAGTTCTGGAACTTCTACAGGTGCATGACTAATAGGAAGAGCAAACAAGCTATCCCTGATTTCCAACGAGAGGATGATTTGTGGATGCGCAATGATGAAGAAAAAGGCCGTGCTCTGTTTAGGAGATACCTGAGACAAACTGACAGGAAAGACGAGGACAAGAGAAAACAGCTGCTCAACAGGATCCAACAGGACTACAAAGATGAACCCTGCCTGCAATTTGTGACACACGAAATATTACATTAATATATCCAGGAAGCATCCAACACTTCTCCTGGTTTTGACGGAATACGTTATGGCCACATGAAGAACATGGAGGAAGGACAGACAATGGCACTAGCTGAGAGGCTAAACGAAAGCCTGTGGACTGGGGAGATATCTGAAGACTGGCTGGACAGTCACCTGTCCCCAGTTCCTAAGCCTGACAAGGACCCAAGCAAGATTGCCTCATATCGCATAGTGACCATGCAAAATACAGTCGGGAAGCTGCTGGAGAAAATCGTGGCACGCAGATTGGCAATAGAGCTGGAGGAAAAGAACGTCCTAACGCTGGAACTGGGCAGATATAGAAGAGGAAAGATCACATGGATGAATGCTGCCACTCTTGCATCCGACGTATATGATGGCTTCGAACGGGGGGAAGAAACTCTGGTAGCAGCACTTGACCTGGAAGATGCCTACAACCGAGTTCAGTACGACACTCCCATGAGGACTTTAGTCAACCTGAAAGTAGATCCACATTTAGTACAATGGATTGAGGCAGCGCTGCTCAAACGAAAGGTAGCACTACGTCTTGGTTGCTGGGTTTCGCAACCTATCGAGATCACACCAGGCTTACCACAGGGATCTGCACTCTCGCCAGTTCTGTTCAACGTTTAAACAATTGGGATTACTTCCAACCATCTGGAGGGGCCCGGATGTGTACTCAGTTTTTCTGATGATGTGCTGGTGTACAGGCAGGGCAAGAACCGCCAGGTTACAGCGGATAGAGTACAGGAAGAACTCGACAGACTTGAACAGTGGTGTGAGGCATACAACGGGAAACTGCACCCAGACAAATCCTGTACACTGTGATGTACACTGAATAACCATGCAGTGCATGATGACATGCCAAGTATCTCGATTGGAGGCAAAGTGCTGAAGAGGGAACCCACACTGAAGTACTTGGGCATAACGTTTTATCGCACCCTCTCTGGCAAAGATCACATCACGAGCACAATCTCCAGGGCGAGAAAAGGCCTAACAGCCGTTAAGATGATGGCCAGAGCTAAGATGAACTAGAAAATCCTTGTCATCCTCTACCAGACACTGGTACTCTCTGTCGTAGAGTACGGGCTCGGACTCTTGAACCTATCAAAGGCGCAACTGCAACGACTCGAGGTGTTACAAAATAAAGGAATGAGGGCAATCCTGGGGTGCACACGAGATACCTCAGCTGAAGCAATGAGATACTTCCAAGACTTCCCATTTGCAGACCAGAGGCACAAACTGGCACAAGTCCAAACCTTTTTGCGAGTCAGCGTAGACGAGACGAACCCTCTACATAAGAAAGTGGGACGGCAGATGACGTCAAGGCTAAAGAGGGGCACAGAATGGATGACTCAAGCCACGAACACCATCAACGAGTGCTGCCAGATACAAGACATTAGGAGAGGCAGGGATTGGGTTGTGGTCGATGATGCGCTCGGAGAGTACACAACAGTGAAGGCAACATTGGGTAGAGAATGTCGCAACTGGCCACTTGGAGCTACAAACGTTGAAATTGAAACCCTGATAGAAGAGAAGAGCGAACATGGAGACGCTGTGATCTTCACGGATGGATCAGTCAATAGAGGAGTTAAATCGGGCTGGGCCTTCAGTATCAGAGTTGATGGGGTAGTAGTGAAAGAGCAAAGTGGAGCAACTGCACTGACAACATCAAGTAAAAGCCATAAGTGAAGCTCTACACTGGATCAAGAACACTAGCCATCAGCGAGCAGTAATCATTATTGACTCAATGAGCACACTACAGAAGGTACAGAAAGAGATGCTGTATGTGGACTGGAAGGCTACGATCAGGGAGAGCAGCCTGGAAAGAGTGGCCTGGATCTTCTGCCCGGGTCACCAGGGGTAACCGGCAACGAGAGAGCAAACAATCTGGCTGGAGAAGCAAAAGTGGGAGGGAATTTGACACTGGACCCACCAACCGTCCTAACCGCTGTAAGGGCGGATAGCGGTTCCCACACACTAGGGAGATTGAAGGAGAAGGGTATCCAAAGAGGAGAGGGGAAACACAGCCATCTGTGCGGACCAGTCCGACGGATCTCCAACCAGATAATGATGGAAACTATAAGTAGACAGACTCTGGGATGGATCCTAAAGAGGAGGGGGGAGAGCAGAGATGGACATGTTCCGACTGCAGTAACCCCAACACAGTGGACAAGTAAGGACAAGTAAGTAAGTAACAGCATTACGTAATGATGACACTTGAGACACCGGTAATAAAAAATACATATTTTGAATTGATTTTTAAATAATATAATAAACAATGTTAATGATATCAAAATTACTGATAATAATAGTTGTTTGTTTGTTTGTTTGTATCGAAATGTTATCATTGTCCCTCTATCAAGGAAGGAAAATAGGGTTGGCCCTGGCTGAAAAAAAATGAATAGACGAGATCAGACCATCAATAATGTATTGATAGAGGCACTAGCAATCCATGTCAAGGTGCTATTTTAGCGTCTTTCGCCTGTCTTTTTTGTTCTGGTAAGTGTCTTACGGTGCTTGCCACTGCATAAGGTCAGATGAACGTTTTCTTGTTTGTGAAAAGTAAAAGGAATCAAATTTCTGCAATATGCACTGGTACTTGGTATAGACAACCTTACAGCATAATAATAATATAAGGGGAGTAAAAACCCATAAATAAATTAAGTGCGTGAATGTTCTTACAATAACATACATGTCTGCGATGATGTTCCTGAAGCGTATGACTGCCCGCACAGTACGGATCGCCTTTTGCCATCGGTGTCGAACCTGAAAGGGTTGATAATGAGACGGATTAATGTTGACATCAGCAGCAGCAGCAGCAGCAGCAGCAGCAGCAACAACAACAACAACAACAACAACAACAACAACAACAACAACAAAAACCCACTCCTGCAACATGGCACCAACCGCAATCCCAATCTAAACGACAGTGTCAGATCTAACCCGCCAACATCCACCCCACGACCCAAAACCAACTGTAAAGGCTGTCGGAAACAAATCCGAGGGAATACCCCGCCAGTTGCGTACGCGTCCTGCACTCAGTACCTCCTCAAGTCTTGCACGAAACTAACGACGCTGCGGCAGGTAACTACAACTGGAACTGTGAGAGCTGTGAGCCGTCGAATAATCCCAGCGACTTCACACGGGTGGTGGGTGGCACAGCGATCGAAGCATCAGGCGGGGAGCCCCAAAGGCGGACCAAAAGCCGGCTCCGCATTATGCAGTGGAACGCCGAAGGCATCACCACTAAGGCAAATGAACTTGGACTTCGCTTGAAGGAGGGTGACTTCGACATCTGCCTCACCCAGGAATAGAAACTAAAACCAAGTAAGAAGACACCTAGATTTGAGGGATACTCATCGATCAGGGTGGACAGGCGAAACCAGGACGGAGGTGAAGGTCTCATCTCTTATATCAAGAATGCCCTAGTTTTCCAACATGTCCGAGAGACGTCCATCACGGGCTTTCGATGTTTAAGATGAAGGTGGGGAAGAGGAAATGGGCTACAATGTGCAACATCTACTACCTCCAACCCCCCCCCCCCCCCCCCCGTCAGATCCCACACATCTCAACAATCTACACATTTGGCAACCGAAGAACTCCCAACCACACTGGAGTCCATCATACTAGGTGACTTTAATGCCCACTGTCTCCTGTAGGATCCCTTTCCGGAAGCAAGAGGGGAAAGTCTGCAGAACTGGACACTGGATAACGAGATGACGGTCATGAACGACAGAACACACACACGTATCAAAAGAACGTCGAGGCATGACGACCATTTCAACCCCAATCCCTCTCCCTCTACCCCACCACCCAACCTGAGGAAAAAGTGCCCCAGATGTCTCTATATGTGGGTCGCCGATCAAAGCATTTCGAGGTGAAACGGGGGTCCCAAGCATTGAGCACCATCAATACTAATTGCCTCCGATCAAGAGAGAAGGCTCTGCGAATGAACCGCGACCACCTCCGACGAATTGGGGCAACGGAACAAGTGCACAGACGCCAAAAGTGACGCAGAGATTTCTGAAAAGGGGCTGAAGACGCAAGCAACAAGAACCCACATTTGTTCAACTGCGAGAGGAGGCCCATTACTTATTTTGAAACAAGGACGCAGAAACGGGGAATCAACTCCGACATCGCCCCCACCTGTATGGCATAAGCAGAAGGAGGGACCCCAGTGTGAAGATCCGAAGCGCTGCTCTTCGTTGTACACGAGAGCTTGGCGCACAGTACAGTATCTATACTGACGGCTCGGCTAGTACAGGAACAACAGATGGCGGCGCTGGGGTCGTCATCACAACGGGGACCCGTCCAACCCGACTGTTGTCGAGACGCTGAGGGAGAAAGGCGTTCTATTCACGTGCTCTTTCTAGGAAGAGAGGAGAACCTTGGAAATTGCCATTGACTGGATCGACAATCAGTGTGATGCTTCCAACTCGGTCGCTATCTTAACTGACAGTCAACCGCTATGCATTGCACTAGTGGAAACATCACCATCCCTCGACCAAATGCGTTGCGACTACCCATAAATAATACAACACCTCAACCCACGTTTCAGTGGATCCCTGGTCACTGCGATATCCTTGGAAACGACCTCACTGACAATAATGCCAAACAGCAACAGCGCTGCCGGGCCAAGGCTGCCAAATTGCATTTTAAAAAATTAAAGTGCTTGCACCCAGATCAAACTGATCACAAAAGACCCTCCGATATCCCACACGTGGATGAAGGAAATATATACAGGGCAATTTCCTTATAACAGGAGGCTCAAATTAAGTCCCGCAGCGACCAGTCACCACTGCTAAAAATCGAGATCGGTCACTTCTCTGGGCTGCGAGCCTACAAAAAAAAATAGAATAGACAAAACATCGGACCCGATCTGTCCATTGTGCAGCGAGGAGCCCCAAGATTTTGGAACTCTGCCTGCAGAGATGCCCGGCCACGGGGGTGGCATCTCTTTGTGGAGGATTCAGGGTGGTTGGACTGCCTCTCTCGCTACCCAAGAGAGACGGTGGCCCTGACGAAGAGCACGTTCTTCGGGGCTCCAAACATTTCGAACGGATAGGCTACCACATACCCAAAAACAACATAAACAGCAACAACAACAACAACAACAACAACAACGACGACGACGACGACGACGACGACGACGACGACGACGACGAAGACGACGACGACGAATGGTGTTAGGCTAGGTTGGGTTTGTTTTTTTAAAATTAACACTTTCAGAGCAAATAATTTTGAAACATTCCTTGCTGTCTTTTATCGGATTTTTTAAAAATCAGGGCTGTCTGTCAAGGTGGTCCTTAACTTATGTTAAAGTCTGTATGTGTGCATATGTCTGTGTGGGGGTGTCTGGGGGTATATGTGTGTATAAAAGAACGAGAGAAAGATAGAAAGAGAAAGAGCGAGAGAGAGAGAGAGAGAGAGAGAGAGAGGGGGGGAGAGAGAGAGAGAGAGAGAGAGAGAGAGAGAGAGAGAGAGAGAGGGGTTGGGGGGGGGGGAGAGAGAGAGAAGAAAGTGAGCTAGAGAGAGAGGTAGAGAGAAAGAGAGAAAGAGAGAAAAAATTGTGAGGAGGTATGTGTGTGTGCGTGTGTGTGTGTGTATGTGTGTGTGTGTGTGTGTGTGTATGTGTGTGTGAATGCGAGTGTATGCGTGTGTGTGTGTGTGTGTGTGTGTGTGTGTATGTGTGTGTGAGTGTGGGTGTATGTGTGTGTGAGTGTATGGGAGTGAGTGTATGTGTGTATGTGTATGTGTGTACGTGTATATGTGTGTGCGCGTGTGCACGATACATTTTATGTACATATTATATAACCGTGCACATAATATACGACAACCATAAGAAACAGAACGGTGCGACGACCCTAGGTACCTTAGCCTCTCTCATCTCGTTGTGCAGTGTGTGGATCTTGGTGCGGATCAGTTTATTATTTCGAAACATGCGCCATCTGGATTCGGGCCGCAGCTTCCACCCGGGCGGGATCAGCAGCTCGAGTCTCGAGCGGGCCGACAACGAGTCTTTTCCGTCCTTTCTGCTCTCCGTCAAGTACTTCAGTGCGCTCGTCATGGGCTTCAGGGAGTCTCTAGTCGTTTGGATTTGTAAAGAATCGGACAAGTATCGGAATGTCGGTAATCTGGATCTTGTTTGGTTATTTATTTGGTGATTCCGTCAGAGCTAGGTTTACTTTTTCGAATTTGGATTTTGAATGCTAAAAATAGTGTGTGTGTGGGGGGGGGGGACTAGACAAGTAAATTCCCAATAAAACGACCCCTGTCAACTTGGCCCTGATTACTGTACCCTGCTGGACTCACAATTTCTCCTTGGCATTCTTCGTGTTCCCCTCCAGAAGCTCAAGGACAGTCTGTATTCTGGTACCCCTCTCGATGGCAAGCTTCCTGGCTAGTTCTTCGGCTCTGTCAGGGAAAGAAAATATAGAACTCGGATACAGATTTATATTCTTTCATTAATTCATTTATTAAATTTCATAAATGTATTTTTAAAATGACTAATTAAACAATTGACTGATTCATTCATTCATTCATTCATTCATTCATTTTTTCATTCATTCATTCATTTGTTCATTCATTCTTTCATACATATATTCATTCATTCATGAGTTGACCGGGGACTGGTTGAAATCGTTCACCTGTCCTTCTGATATTTAGAGAGTAACGTGAACCGTGTTAAATTCGCTCATGTGCCCCTCTAATATTTGGAGGGTCAACGTTGAATGTGCTGAATTCGCTCCCCCACTCCTCTGGTGTGTCGAGATTTAACGTTGAATTAGCGGAGTTCGCTCACCTCTCCCTCTGTTGTTTAAAGAGTTATGCCTTTACAGACCGAGATGTAACAAACGCAGCAGGAATTACTGCACTGTCTGGTGACACACTGTAGACAATGGGAGCGGCCACACGAACGACAGGTGATATTTTCAGTCCTGGGGCAGCAGATGTGTGTCGCCCACATTCTGCTACGACGCGACATTCCAGCGTTTTGGTGAAGCACACAGTTCAAAGGACTCGGACAAACGAGATGTATTTACTGCCAGAGCATTCCTTCAATAATTGTGTTTTTTCTCCCTTCTCATTCAACACGACAATATTCCCAGAGTAACCATGTCTTGTTATCACGAAACAATGCGTTTGATTTTAGAAATAAAGAGCAGAAACATCATTTGGGACAACACAGGTGAGGAATTTAATTTTTTTTAAATAATGATGCTAGAATAGATGTATGCCTAGCACTCAGACCAGAATACAGTGATGCAAGTGATGCATTGAAGGAGCAGATACGTAAGCAACTTTTTCATTTTACTTGACGTCTATCTTGACATGTCTGGATGTACCTGACTCTCCGATGGTCCATGTTGAACTGAGCTGTAACGTTAAATGTTGTCTCGTGTGGTTGCCGCATAAAAGTAAGTGACATTTTCTTCGCAGAATTTACTGAGCGAAAATTGTAGCTCGCCTGTCAAGGCCATGAAAAATTAGAGGTCGGTAGATCTATGTTTTCTCCACAGATGCTGCACCCTTATTCTTTTTCTTGCGTAACTCATTCTTATGAAAAAATGTATGCGTATGAGTATCTTATTGATATCAAAACTTCATATTTTTCTGAATACACAGGTTGGAAATGCAAACTTGTAGCTTGAAACATATTTTCTTATGATGAAAATGGTTTACATTCCTTTCCCTACTTTAAACTAAACTTGCTGCCACAGAAAGGGTTAGCCTACGACTTGTAGAAGTAAACACAAGACTGATAGAATTCACTCATCTGACCTTCTGTTATTTAAATAGGTATCTTGGAAGGGACATGAATCCCTCACCTGTCCTTCTGTTACTTAAATGGGTATCATGCAAGAGATAGAATTCGGTCACCTGTCCTTCTGTTATTTAAATGGGGATCATGGAAGAGACAGAATTGATTCTTTTACCTGTCCTTCTGAATAGGCGGTGTCTTCATCGCTGCGATCATGGCTTTCTCCTCGTTGATTTCTCTGATCGGTTGTACATACACTCTCTCATCCTTGGGAAGAATGTCGACGTACCTTGGAATAGAACACACAGAGGGAAATGTGTGATAATCTTTTTGTGCTGGTTATATCACTGGTTCAAAAGTGATAGATTAAAATAGGTATTCATTCATCCATTCATTCATTCATTCATCCATTTATTTATTTATTTATTTATTTATTTATTTTGTCATTTATTTATTATCCTTTTATTTCTTTATCTGTTTTTACGATAATATATTTTTTAATAGTGGGTCTTTCATTCATTCATTCATCTATTAATTAATTCATTCATTCATTCATTCATTCATTCATTCATTCATTCATTCGTTCATTCATTCATCAATAAAAATTCAAACCAAACGAACGAGTGTCGTGATTCACTCACCGCCTGTACCACTCTGGTTGCACGGTCTTGGTCAGTACACGCTTTTTGCTGTTAGTGCCAGTCTTGATGGACGGCAGGGTCAGTTTTTGGGGGTCACTCATAGCTCTAACAAATGAAAATATACTGTCCTGTACGTGCTAGGGTCAGTTTGTTTGGGTCACTAATCGACGGAGCAGTAACAAATGAAAGGGCTACTCAATTGGGAACAGTAGGACGAAATCGTCTGTGGTGTAGCAGTTAGGCACTGAGCCGTCACACGCGGAAGACTCGAGTTCGATATCAGTGTGAGGAGAGTTATCGGTTGGTTGTTAAAAATTATTATCTTGGTCTTTCTGCTTGCACGTTGTGTCCCTCTCAGTTTCAGACAGGGTCGAATCCCAGATTTGAAATTATCTAAATTGTGTCAATGATGGCATTTATAAAATAGCTACATTCTTATGGACAGAAAAAGCCGGAAGACTTTTTATTGCTATCGAAAATTTAGATACGTGCGCATAAAATCCAAGAGTCTAGCCTCAAGAAGACTGTTTCGGAAGGCTAAACTGAGACAAACAAAGAGAGGTAGACCATTTATTACCCTTTTCCAGGGCATCATCACTGAATCACTGAATCCAGCATACACATACAGCAGAAGCGTCAGAACAGCAAGCGAAAACCAGATCAAGTTGTGTGAGAGGATAAGTCTGGTAAATTGGATGGTTGGCGGGTGCTCTGAAGTGGTTTGCTCCTTCTTCCCTAACAAACTCCTATCGCCCTTATTTCTCCTTCTCATATTAAATGTTGCTGTCGAGTAACACCTCAAACTGCGGCGCGTATATGACCTGTTTGTGTTGCGAGTGAGGTCAAACTTACGAAAGTTAAAAAAAACTAAAAACCTGGAAAAAGTCCATTTAAGCCCTCCTATCTGAACTTACTTAATCTAGTAGCCTAAGTATTCGTCTGCGGTCTGTCTACACTCAATGTGGGGCCGTATTATTTGGGTCACGGTGACGTCAGAAACGAAAGGTGTCCTTTAACTTATTTTAAGAATGATGATGATGATGATGATGATGATGATGAGGAGGAGGAGGAGGAGGAGGAGGAGGAGGAGGAGGAGGAGGAGGAGGATGGTGATGTGTGTGTGTGTGTTTGTGTGTGTGTGTGTTTGTGTGTGTGTGTTTAAGGGTTAAAGGAGGGGGGGGGGTTCAAAGTTACTTTTACCCTAACCCTGTCGGAGATATTGTTTGCAGCGGTCAGCATAGCGCAAGGTGATGTCAACAATTCAAAGCGTGGTCATTGCTGCCAGGTACTGGGAATCTAGACTGAAGGCCGTCGGAGTCTAAAGCAATCCACTTAAGTTCTTTGGGTAATACTTCTTAAACCAGAGATAGAAAAAAAAGTTTTTACTGTGTTATTCCTATCAGAAATCATGAAAAGCTCAGAAACTGTAAGCCTTGGCGAAAGCATTAAACTGCATAATTTTGTTCATGTTGCAAGGTGCATTTTTGGCAGAGCTTCAGTAGAGTGTAAAAATCGAAAATTTCTCAAAATTGAACTTTAGTGGATTGTTTGCGACAGCTATGATGTGCTGGAAAGAGAACTCCCCCATTTGACTATGGATTCGATTCCGGCTGTGGCATTCTTGAACGTGGGTTGTACCGTTGATTGAGAGGTTTTACAGGCTCTTAGCTCGCCTTCTTGGCTTGGTCCTTTCTAAGTTGGACATCTCACAAATCCTACTTTTTGGGGTCAAAACACTACTGTGTTGAAAAGAATGTTACGTACCGCACGACACGTATAAAACGTTCCAGTCGTTCTTTTAAAGCACAAGTTAATTATTATTGTGAAAACAATATAAATATTCATTATAAACTTGTCTTTACAACTACTGCTCTGAACTGTTTTTGTTGACCATACTTCACGTGTGCTGCTATAAGTGGCAACTATTTTATTGGGGGGAGGGGGGAGGGGAGAGGTGGAAATGGGGGGGGGGGGGGGGGAGGGGAGAGGTGGTGGAGAGAAGGGGTGGAGAGAGGGGGTGGAGAGAGAAAGAGAAGGGCGGGGGAGGGGGTGGGGTGGTCCAGTGGCTGAGTGGTTTTTGAGCAGTCGCTAACAATAATTTTTAGCATTGTTGTTGTATGTCGATGAAACGGGTTCAAAGTGGTTGGTCAGTGGAGCGTGTCCTCGAACAAGGCACGACCTCCCCAGCCCAAGCTAAAAATAACCATGGCACTGCAGTAGGGCAACACTAGCAAGTCCTCGCGGCTAAATTATTGCGATATTATGTATTTTGTTATGTGACACTGATGAATTATTCATCACATCTCTCCGTACACAAACATACACTCACTCACACACACACACACACACACACACACACACACACACACACACACACACACACACACACATACATACACATACAAACACACAGACACATGCACGCACGAGGGGAGAGAGAGGGAGAGATAGAGAGAGAGAGAGAGAGAGAGAGAGAGAGAGAGAGAGAGAGAGAGAGAGAGAGAGAGAGAGAGCGAGTGAGAGGGAGACAGACAGAGACAGAGACAGAGACAGAGGAAAAAGAGACGGAGGCAGAACCAGAGACAGAGACAGAGACAGAAACAGAGAGCGAAATAGAGATGAATTTCACTTAAGCCTATCTGTAATTTCCAACCTGTCTATTTCACTGGAAAATATGTCTTTGAGATGGTACAATTTGATGTTCTACGTACTTGATCTGCTTTCTTGCTCCTTTTTTTACCGGAAAAAAAAGAAACTAAAATCTCATTCAACAGTGCAGTTTCTATCCTTTTTTTTCACGCTTCCTGGTATTCCCGGATTTGACTACCGTTTTCTTGTTTTTGTTTTTGTATCGCTTTTTGTGGTTTTTTGTTTGTTGCCACACAATGACAGTAATTTAAACCCATGGAAAAATGGTAAGAAAGTTTTTGTTTTTTAGTAATAGTTAAACGGCCCTTGCAACACAATAAGATCATATACGTGCCAAAGATTAGAGATGTTACAAGAGAGTAACAAACACAAAAAAGAAGGAGGAGTGATTAGGACGATAGATGTTTGATAGGAAAGAAGGAGCAGACCACACCATAGCACCCGCCAACCACCCACTGGTAAGAAACAACAGACAGAAAGTGAAGAAGTAGAATGTAATCGTGGTTTCACTTAGACTCTCACTCCATTTAAGAAGCATGCTACTTCGACCCTGCCTGTCAGGGTCAACCCAGGCTGACAATAACTGGTCACTTTTAAGCACAAGGGGGCTATCCCGAAAAGTGTTGGTTTGAGAAAATCGCTGGTAAAGTTTTTGCCCCTTGTTCAGTTTCTATAACAGACAAGAAGAGTTTTCTCTACTATAGCCAAACAAATATATACACACCAGTCAAACCAAACTTCTTCTATTGGTAGGGCAATGTCCACTTTTGGTGTAGGTCAAGATTTCTTGGAAACCCCCGAAATCTGAGTTAGCCCGCTTGTCTTTAAAAGCCACCAATTCTTCCCTCACAGGAATCGAACGCATGTCTTCTGCGTGAGTCGAGAAAAAAAAATAACAAGCATTCAACCGCTCCACCACTGACGCCGGTGCCTCGCAACTAAAACACAAACAACGAAATAAAATAGTCAAAATAGAACAAAACAAAACAAAATGCACATATAATAGAAAGCAATATTTAGAACAATCCTCTTTATTTAAAACGAAGGCCCAAAGGGTTAATATCAGAATGAGTATTGGAATGTGAATATTGGTAATACATGTACACAATCAAATGCTTCATTATTTCCTCACTTGTCTGTTGTTTTGTATGTTTGTTTATTTACTTTTGGGAAATGGGCTGTGGCATCCATCAGGAACTCGGGCCATCAACCGACATGGCATCCACAAATCCTGGTCCACTAATTTAAAAAAATAAATAAAAAACTGCCAGCCCCACC